AAACTTTTCTATAGAAAAGTTGTCACAATCTATGCATCTTTTTCTATAGGAAAGTTGTTATAATATTGAAAAAGTTTTTAAGTTGATCGATTTTGAGCAGCTTCTTCTATAGAAACAATGTTCAGAATATGGTAAACTTTTGTCAGTTGTCTGAGCTATGTTATGATCTACTATAGAAGGTTTTTTTATAGGACTGAGTGTACAAACATCTGTAAACATGTAATAGCAGTTAATCAAATACAAGGCTGTCAGCAAAATGAAAAAAAAAACTTTAATACAAGAGGGAGAAAAAAAATTTAATTTCAAAGAAATAAACTTCTATTTTCCTTGTATGTTTTAAATTACACAAACAATTTAACATGAAAATAGTCACGTTTAACATTAAAATGTTAATGAATGAATGGATAAACACGTTTAGATTTCAACCACAATTTATCCTTAGAATACGGACCGACAAATGTTTTTTTTTTTTTTTTTTATATATTTTATTTCAATTAATGTTCTTGAAGTTATTAATAGTTTGTTTTTATTATTATTTTCATTTTATAAATAACAAATCAATTGTTAAATTAAATTGTTTTTTATCAATGTCTGTTTTACACTTAATATTTTTTATTCATTCTAAAATAAACCACTTACTTTTCCAATTGCTGACGCAGTTCTTTTTCAAATGTTGGTGACCCGCATTGGCTCTGTAATGATAAAGAGGGGGAAAAAGAAATTTGTATTATTAAAAAAACGAAAAAATCATAAAAAAACAAAATTTCTTATTATTAGTTTTATTTAATATGCCGTCCTAACTCCCCCCTGACTACTTCACTGTAATGTCTATAGAAGGGCATTTTGTGTGCTAAAATTAGTGTTAATCATGTTGATAATAAAAACTGTCACATTGACGGATTCCTATATAAAAGTCTCTTAACGAAAAAAGGGGAAGCATGGAAATATTAAAATTGTCACACAAAAAAAAGTGTGCTGTTTTATAATGGAACCAAACGATCTCGGTTTCGTATGTTAAAATGTAATAAAAGTGAAAGAAATATATAATAATAATAAAAGAAGCTATTTACACGAAAAGAATTGTTTCATTAAAAATCGCCGGGAATTATAGATAAAATTAAGATTAATGTGTTTTCTGTGTGTTAAGCAAATAATAAAATATTTTTTAATTACTTCTTGATATTTTTATTTAGTTAAGGGTCTATTGAAATCTATTTAAATAATAATGTTGATCATTCAATTTTACATGTTGTTTGTAATTACAAGACGTTAATCGATTTTTATTTTGTTTTTATTATGTAGTAAATTTGTTAAATTTTACATTTAAATTGTTCTAGGAAAATGATAAATGTGTTGTTATACCGCCATTATGATTTGTAAATTAATTATTACATTGTGATCCCAATCCAACTTCATTATTGTTTTAAATGATCAATTATAATTCTAATAATTGAGCCACGTTTTCTTTTAAAAAGTTGTCAGAATGAGAACAACTTTTCTCTATAGAAAAATTGTTCGAATCTTCATTTTCTATAGAAAATATGTTAGAATATGAGCAACTTTTGTTGCTGAGCTTGAACTAGAACTGAAGAACTGGAACTGAACTAGAACTGAACTAGAACTGAACTAGAACTGAACTAGAACTGAACTAGAACTGAACTAGAACTGAACTAGAACTGAACTAGAACTGAACTAGAACTGAACTAGAACTGAACTAGAACTGAACTAGAACTGAACTAGAACTGAACTAGAACTGAACTAGAACTGAACTAGAACTGAACTAGAACTGAACTAGAACTGAACTAGAACTGAACTAGAACTGAACTAGAACTGAACTAGAACTGAACTAGAACTGAACTAGAACTGAACTAGAACTGAACTAGAACTGAACTAGAACTGAACTAGAACTGAACTAGAACTGAACTAGAACTGAACTAGAACTAGAACTAGAACTGAACTAGAACTGAACTAGAACTGAACTAGAACTGGAACTGAACTGGAACTGAACTAGAACTGAACTAGAACTGAACTAGAACTGAACTAGAACTGAACTAGAACTGAACTAGAACTGAACTAGAACTGAACTAGAACTGAACTAGAACTGAACTAGAACTGAACTAGAACTGAACTAGAACTGAACTAGAACTGAACTAGAACTGAACTAGAACTGAACTAGAACTGAACTAGAACTGAACTAGAACTGAACTAGAACTGAACTAGAACTGAACTAGAACTGAACTAGAACTGAACTAGAACTGAACTAGAACTGAACTAGAACTTAACTAGAACTGAACTAGAACTGAACTAGAACTGAACTAGAACTGAACTAGAACTGAACTAGAACTGAACTAGAACTGAACTAGAACTGAACTAGAACTGAACTAGAACTGAACTAGAACTGAACTAGAACTGAACTAGAACTGAACTAGAACTGAACTAGAACTGAACTAGAACTGAACTAGAACTGAACTAGAACTGAACTAGAACTGAACTAGAACTGCTAGAACTAGAACTAGAACTGAACTAGAACTGGAAATTAGGAACTGACTAGAACTGGAAGTAAGAACTGAACTAGAACTGAAACTAGAACTGAACTAGAACTGAATTAGAACTGAACTAGAACTGAAGTAGAACTGAACTAGAACTGAACTAGAACTTAACTAGAAACTGAAACTAGGAACTGAGCTAGAACTGAACTAGAACTGAACTAGAACGGAACTAGAACTGACTAGAACGACTAGAACTATGACTGGACTAGAACTAAACTTAGAACTGAACTAGAACTGAACTAGAATTAACAAAGCTGTCAAAATATGACAAATATTTCTATAGAGAATTTGTCCAGAATGTGAGCTGCATTTTCCTGTAGAGAAGCTGCCCATTCAAAGCAATTTTTTCTTGAGAAAAGTTGTCAGAATCGGGTTCTCAGTTGGGCATATTTAGAAAAACTAGATTTATTATATGCTACATTTCTTTTAAAACTACAATCCAATTGTTTTTAATCTTTTAAAACTACTTTATTTTTTATAACTCATAAATAAATATGTATTCTTATTATTATATATAACATTTTGAATTTTCATTAAGAGAAAAGTCCATTAAATATAAACAGAACGGTGCAAAGAAAAACTAGAAAAGCATACTATTCAACATCCGGAAAGATAAAAGCATCTCATTTATTTAACATCACAATACGGAACCATAACATTAACACTCAGATGCCATGCAGCATGCAAAAAATGAAATGGTGGCCTTTATGTGAAGGCTGGGAAAAGAAAATAAACTCGTAAATCACTTGTCAAAATGCAAACATGTCAACGCAAAAATATCACATGAAATTTAAAACATTCAACACAAAAGGACAACAACACAACGAGATTTACTTTTTTGCCATTTTTTTTCTGTCAACAACTATATACGGATGTATAATGCATGCGATACTGTTGCAAGAGAAGTGGAAAAACACCATCAAGTGTTTGTTAACTCCTTCCAAGGTGTGACTTGGCAAAATTTTATATTGTAGATAATTATATATTCTATTAAGAACTGGAGGACAATTCCATATTTCTTTTTCAGAATCTTAATTTTTTGAACTAGAACTGAAGTAGAACTGAAGTAGAACTAGAACTGAACTAGAACTGAACTAGAACTGAACTAGAACTGAACTAGAACTGAACTAGAACTGAACTAGAACTGAACTAGAACTGAACTAGAACTGAACTAGAACTGAACTAGAACTGAACTAGAACTGAACTAGAACTGAACTAGAACTGAACTAGAACTGAACTAGAACTGAACTAGAACTGAACCAGAACTAAACTAGAACTGAACTAGAACTGACTAGAACTGAACTAGAACTGAACTAGAACTGAACTAGAACTGAACTAGAACTGAACTAGAACTGAACTAGAACTGAACTAGAACTGAACTAGAACTGAACTAGAACTGAACTAGAACTGAACTAGAACTGAACTAGAACTGAACTAGAACTGAACTAGAACTGAACTAGAACTGAACTAGAACTGAACTAGAACTGAACTAGAACTGAACTAGAACTGAACTAGAACTGAACTAGAACTGAACTAGAACTGAACTAGAACTGAACTAGAACTGAACTAGACTGAACTAGAACTGAACTAGAACTGAACTAGAACTGAACTAGAACTGAACTAGAACTGAACTAGAACTGAACTAGAACTGAACTAGAACTGAACTAGAACTGAACTAGAACTGAACTAGAACTGAACTAGAACTGAACTAGAACTGAACTAGAACTGAACTAGAACTGAACTAAACTGAACTAGAAGAACTAGAACTGAACTAGAACTGAACTAGAACTGAACTAGAACTGAACTAGAACTGAAGTAGAACTGAACTAGAACTGAACTAGAACTGAACTAGAACTGAACTAGAACTGAACTAGAACTGAACTAGAACTGAACTAGAACTGAACTAGAACTGAACTAGAATTGAACTAGAACTGAAACTAGAACTGAAACTAGAACTGAACCAGAACTAAACTAGAACTGAACTAGAACTGAACTAGAACTGAACTAGAACTGAACTAGAACTGAACTAGAACTGAACTAGAACTGAACTAGAACTGAAGAAGAACTAGAACTGAACTAAAACTAGAACTGAACTAGAACTGAACTAGAACTGAACTAGAACTGAACTAGAACTGAACTAGAACTGAACTAGACTGAACTAGAACTGAACTAGAACTGAACTAGAACTGAACTAGAACTGAACTAGAGCTGAACTAGGACTGAACTAGAACTGAACTAGAACTGAACTAGAACTGAACTAGAACTGAACTAGAACTGAACTAGAACTGAACTAGAACTGAACTAGAACTGAACTAGAACAGAACTAGAACAGAACTAGAACAGAACTAGAACAGAACTAGAACTAAACTAGAACTGAACTAGAACTGAACTAGAACTGAACTAGAACTGAACCAGAACTAAACTAACTGAACTAGAACTGAACTAGAACTGAACTAGAACTGAACTAGAACTGAACTAGAACTGAACTAGAACTGAACTAGAACTGAACTAGAACTGAAGAAGAACTAGAACTGAACTAAAACTAGAACTGAACTAGAACTGAACTAGAACTGAACTAGAACTGAGCTAGAACTGAACTAGAACTGAACTAGAACTGAACTAGAACTGAACTAGAACTGAACTAGAACTGAACTAGAACTGAACTAGAACTGAACTAGAACTGAACTAGAACTGAACTAGAACTGAACTAGAACTGAACTAGAACTGAACTAGAACTGAATTAGAACTGAACTAGAACTGACCTAGAACTGAACTAGAATTGAAAAAAGCTGTCAAAATATGAACAACTATTTCTATAGAGAATTTGTCAGAATGTGAGCTGCATTTTCTGTACAGAAGCTGCCGATTCAAAGCAATTTTTTCTTCAGAAAAGTTGTCAGTTGGGCATATTTAGAAAGGTAGATTTATTATATTCTACATTTCTTTTAAAAATGCAATCCAATTGTTTTTAATCTTTTAAAACTATTTTTTATAACTCATAAATAAATATGTATTCTTATTATTATATATAACATTTTGAATTTTCATTTAAAAGAAAAGTCCATTAAATATAAACAGAACGGTGCAAAGAAAAACTAGAAAAGCATACTATTCAACATCCGGAAAGATAAAAGCATCTCATT